AACTGAAAATGGTGAGCAAAGTGTCATGATGGGCTTTAAGGATCTCACCCACATGCAGAGAAACACTCATAGGACCAAGGAAAAAAGTTAACTGGTTTATTTGAAGGTTTACAAAAAGAGAGAGTGAGATTATACTGCTGGGAAAACTCAGTTGGACCTCAGCGGACTGGTGAACCGGAACCGGAATCTCTGAAGGGGAGACCACAATGATCAGTTCAGGGCCTGTAGGAAATATGACTGAGACTTGAGATTTGTGGGAATGGGACTCACGTTTGGGGGGTTCTTGGTTTTCCCTTGGATCCAGTTATTGGGGTTTAATCCAGAGATGAAAAAACTCGTTGGAGGGCGGAACAGGCAGACTGGCATTGGATCCAGAGGAGTAATGGAGTGACTTGAACGGTTCAGGTTTCCACTTTCTCAGTGCGACTGAAATGATTCCTTCCAGGGGGGAGGGGGGGTTGGTAGAAGGCTAATCTAGTGGATCAGGGAGGCTTCCTACCAGAGTACGAAGACAAAGGCAAAGCTTAGACTCAGACAAAGAAGGCATAAATTTGACTCGGCTAATCTCAGTTTGGCTAGAGTACCCTATACTGGTAAACACTCTGGCATCGAGGTACTGACAGCCCGCTGCTCAAATACTCCTCTGGTGATGACCCAATGAGCCGCAGGTGTGAGGGAAGGCCCAAACGAGGAGAGGGCACCATCTAGTGGTGGAAAGGGAGAACAAAAGATGATATAAAACAACCCACACAAACTGGAATCCTATAACAAAGTAGCTGCAAGACCATGGTACAGGGTTGCCAACTTTTCACCAAACCTTGGAGTGAGAGTTTAAAAGAATTTGGACATGCAGCCCTTGTCAGGGTTAGATGAGGATAGGTGGAGCTATAGGTTGTAGGTTTTCAGAGGATTTAACTGAAACAAAGTTGTAAAATATTGATTATATTAAATATTTGTATTGCACTGTAAATGTTATTGAATAATAATCAGTGATCTGTAGTTATGTGGAAAATTTCCCACAATATACATTATTTTCTATATTATGGTGATTTTCAGAGAACTAGCAATAAGGTTGTGTTGAAAACATGGACTGGATTTTTATCAGCAGGGTATTTCTATATATAAATAAGTGTAATGGAGTTGAGTTTTAATGTCCATCATTTTTTATTGTGAAAAATTGGGGATCTGGAGTGAGAGCGTGTGAAGACAGTGAGATGCGGTAGTCTCACACCCAATGGGTAACGGTTGACAGCCCTGTGGTATAAAGCCAGACCTGGGTAGGTCTGTGGCTATCTGTGCTCAATAGCTAACAGGTTAGCCTCTTTTAGCT